CAGAAACGAGGACATAAAAAGGAAGACCTAATGAACCTTTCGGTGTGGCTGCATTGCTTGATGGCCTAACGCTCTATAAGGTCTCTATCCTAATGTGTTCTCCTGCTTGCAGAGTGGAGCATTCTCAGACTCTACGATTCTTTAATTTTCTTGAAGTGGTGCTTTTGTTTTGTGTTTGTGATTTAAGAGATATAAAAATGCCCAGCTACTGCTTGCTTGAAGAGCATAAGCGTTGCTTCTTCCCACGGAACTCTTTACGAAGCCCTTACCTTTGAAGTAGTTTAATACTTTAGCAAACAACAAGCCCACAGCAAACCCCAAAGTTGGGAAACTGAAATCCTTAAGAGATTTAGCTCCTTTATGAGAAAGTAAAAGATGAGAATTCACAAGTTTATAAGCCCAGGATATGCTTAATTGCAAGTGATTTTTCCCCCAAGAATTTCCACTTTTTACAATCTTTGGAATACTGACTACAAAGAAAAAGTGAGACTATGCATAGGTAGTTTATAATCTGGATTTTTCTAAATTGAAATTGGTGGGTGTTATGGTTTGAGCCTGAAATGTCTCCTTAGCTGGTGCACTATTTTGAGAGGTTCTGGAAACTTTGAGAGGTGGGGTCTGACTGGAGGAGATAAGTTGTGGATTGGGACAGGAGGAGGGGCATGGTCCTTGGAGGATCTGTTACCCATGATCACTCTTATTTCTACTCTCTGCTTCCTGGCTGACTGTGACATGAGCTGCTGTATGCACTCCCCATCACAAACGACTGAACCTTCCAAGACATGAGCCAGAAGAAATTCTTTATTCCTTTTAAGTTCTTCTACCAGGCATTTTCCCCACAAAAAAAGCAGAAGTAGCTAACACAGTTGGTGTTGACTCCCATCGTGGGGCTGGAGAGATGGTTCCTTCATTAAGTTGTCATGCATTGTAGGCAAATAGCCTACCAACTAAGCCACATCTCTAGTAATTCTTTTGATACTTGAAACTCAGAGTCATTTTTTGTTGTTTCTCATCCCATGATGTTAATGCCACTGTTTTATTTCTTTTTATCCTTTCCTTTCCAATGTATTTACAAATTTTAAACTTATCCATGTCATTTAGTTGTTCTGCCCATTGTCTGGGTACATAGATCTCTGCTGTAGTCTTCTGACAGTCATCAATTTCATCTTCCTCCTCTTTGTTTTCAGCATCCCCTTGTTTCCTCTATGTCCTGGTTGTAGTGTTGCTAGGTAGCTGTGTTCTATGGATTGAAAATAGAGTCATGAAGGAAGCAAAGAGACACAAGATGAGAAAGATTCCTGCATCAGCTCCAAGGTTGGAGACAGCAGGCAACAGTGCTGCCAGGGAAGCTGGAGGAATTAGAGTCCACTGTCTGTGGGAAGGAGAAGCTTGGACATTTGGAGATGTTTCTTTCTGGGTATAGAGTGGGAGATAGTAGCCTTGGGAAAATGAGTGGGGGTGGGATTCCCACTGTTAGTGGTGTGGTTGAGAGGTGATGGTGAAGGAGTGTGTGGGGACTTGTGATGGGGCTGGTAGGAGCCTGGGGACTCTGGGAATCTCTCTGTAGAGCATCTATGGAGGTGACTGGAAATGGGTGAAGGGAAAGTGTAGAAATACTTTCTTTTCTTTGAGGCAGGTCTTTAACTGGCTGGCCTTGAACTCCGTGTATACCTAAAGGGGACCTTGAACTCCACCTCTTGGGTGCAATGGCAGGAATTATAGGCTTGCTTCATGCTTTTCAGTGGGGTGCTGAGGGGAAAAATCAGGGCATTGTGCTTATTAGGCAAGCATTATACCAACTGAGGTATATCTCCAGCTTCCAGATACTTTAAACAGACTCTGTGTGTGTGTGTGTGCGTATCACACACCTGTGTTACGACACATATGTGTAAATATGTAGAGGCCAGAGGACACCTCAGCCACTGGTCCTCACTTTCTTCCTTATTTCACAGGCTGCTTTTTTCCCCTGTGTCTTAGGGTTTTCATTGCTGTGGAGAGACACAACAACACTTATAAGGAATAAACAATTAATTGGGGTGGTTTACATCTTCAGAGGATTAGTCCTTTATCATGGTGTGACATGGTGGTGTGCCGGCAGACATGTGCTGGAGAAGCAGCAGTGTCCTACATCTTGACCTGCAGGCAATGGGAAGTGGTCTGTCTCACTGGGCATGGCTTGAGCATATGACCGCAAAGCCTGCCTCCACAGTGACACATTTCCTCCAAGACCATACCTACTCCAATAAGGCCACACCTGTGTGTGACAGGCTCTCTGCCTAGCATCTTGACACAGGAGTTCTGGGATTACAGATGTGTGCTAATGCCTCTGCCTTTACATAGCTTTTGGACCTCTGAACTCAGGTTCTTACACCTTGCACAGCATGAACTTATGGAAGCATCTCCGAAGTCCCTTGAAAACACTCTTTTAAATGAAGCTGGAAGTGCTGTGTAGGATGACGTTGAAGGGAAGGAAAACCAATCTAAGAGGCCTGGCAGGACTCTGGCTGTGGCATTTACATTTGTTATCACTAAGTTCTGGGGGCTGCTGGGTTAATTTTCATTGGATGGCTCTGCCCAGATGCAGCTGGTGGCTCCCCAACCCTGAGAAGTAATGCTTCTTCCGGCTTTGGAAGGCTGCTCTTCCAGTTCTGACCTTCAGTTCTTCTTAGGAGTCAACCAATGCCCTGCTGCAAACTGAATTTACTCATAGTGATTCCATTTCCTACTTTCTTTGTTGCTGGGAAAGTATTTGGATTGAAATCACTTTCAGCTTTCAACACACGCATAATGCATAACCCCTCCTCTCAGCCAGGGTGCCCCAGCCTGCCCCCTGAAAACCTGGGTGACACTGGTCTCCTTTTGATAGTGGACGGCTGACACGGTTTCTGGGCAGCCAGCTCCACCATTAATTAGTATTCACACATTACTTGCATGTCTTTCATTTTGTTTCTCTGAGCTTTATCACCTCCTGAAGGGCTGGGGTCATGATTAGCAGTCTTGGTGGCTGCAGTTGTTTTCATCCATTATAGCTCTAATTGTGGTCTTTGGAACATGACACTTGCTGACCTTCAATTTTAATTTTAACCTGTTCAGGCAGCCAGAAAGACTACAGATGAAACTGAGGAGCCAAGAGCTAAAAGACTTGAGGGTCCTGGATTTCCCTGCAGAGGTGAGCACTCTCAGGAGAGAATTTGGTCTTTTTGATTTCCTTGTGTAAGGAGTTTTCACTAACCATCAAGGAACACCCTCCTGTGTTAGAGGATTCACAGTTTCCTCACAATGGGAACAGGCTGATTTGATTCTACTGTCTGGAAACATGATTCCAGGAAAACCAAGGATGTGGTATCAACTAATTTAGCCACTTTTCATCACACAAGTAAGATAAATACAGATGCTTACACTTTTCTGTCAAGTAGGTAAACATACTCAGCAGACTCAAAACCAGCTTTATGTGTGTCAGAGAAACAACGGAAAGGACTAAGGTTAAGTAAGCAGAGCTCAACCTCTGGGAAAGGATTCCTAGGCGTGTGGCTTCCTCCCACCTTGAAAGAACTGTGGGTGATAGACAGTAGCCTGCTGTGACATGGGATGCTTCCAAACTTCCAAAGGAGACCTGCTGCTCTAATTGCAGTGATGTGGACATGTGCCAAAATGTAAGCAGTGTAAAATGTAATCAGTGAGAATTAGAACTGTTAGATGAATCTTCCCTGTGGGCTGTACAATATGTGAGAGAGAGAGACAGAGAGAAAGATAGAGACAGAGAGAGACATAGAGAGAGAGAGAGAGAGAAAGAGAAAGAGAAAGACAGAAAGAGAGACATATATATATATATATATATATATATATATAGAGAGAGAGAGAGAGAGAGAGAGAAGATATGTGCACAAGAATAGTTTTAAGCCTTCTCTGCTCCTGAAGGAGCATTTCCTCATGGAGACAGCTGACCTACTAATTAGAAAGTATCCTCACCTGTTAACTAGACCAATTATCCTGAAGAATTCTTTTAAACATCACTTAGTTTTGAGCTAATTATTGTGTGGCCTTCAAAGCAATAAACTGTACTTTCAGAATGAAACTTTGTAATTCAGACATATGCAGAGTTTATGCAGACACTTCCCATTATTACAGTGGTATCATAAAAGGGGGTTTGTTTTTATGAAAAGGAATTGTTCATCTCTTCCTGGAGAGACTACAATGAATTATTATATTTTTGTTTAGATCACAAAGTCTTTGGGGGATTTTATTGTTTAAAAGAAGGTTTTTTGTTTGTGTGAGTATGTGTGTGTGTGTATAGGTTATTTTTTACTGTTTTGCTCCTTAAATAATTTTAAAAATGAATTTATAGGAGAGGTTGAAAATGAATTATTATATATGTGTGTGAAATTATCAAAGATGAAACTAATGTTATATAAAATATTAGAAAATGGAAATTGTGTGTGTGTGTGTGTGTGTGTTGCCATCGTGAATGGAAGAATCATGCTTGAATAAAAATAAGAGAAACATTGTTTAGGCAAATACCTGACTCCATATCTACCATTATCTGTAAGAGCTTTTCCTGAGTGAGCCACTGTCAAGCAATGTAGTTAAAAGCACAGAACATAGTCTCAGTGATCTGTCAAATACTAATCATGGAAATGAGCATGATCTGTCAATACCAACCATGGCAATGAGCCAGATGACCCGTGAGGACAGGCTGTGCTGTTGAGCACTTGGGATTGTCCTAGGATTAAGATATAGGGTCACACGCTTCAAAGGCCCTGCCTTGCCTGAAGCCTCCCTTCAGTTATGATCTGAATGGGTGTTCTCCAGAGGGGTGAATTTGCCAATAGCCTGACGTGCCCTGCTTCAGCTTCCTGACTGCAAGAGCAACAGCATCAACTCTAAGGGCTGTTGTGAGGCTTAGATGCATCACCCTGTCACACAGAAAATGCTTCACTCTCTCCACCCTTCACTCACACATTCACTCAGCCTCTGTCTACTGAGCAGTGCTCTTCAGGGCCCTACTGTAAAGACTGGTGTTGGGGGTCAGCAGTAAGACGAGGTCCCTCTCCTGTGGGAACCTGTGTACCAATGGAAAAAGACACATCAGAAATAAGGAGATAAATGAACAGGTATTAATAAACCTTCCACAGACAATAGATAAGGGAAGGAAAAGGACTGACTGGGTTTTGGGGTGAGGTCAGCAGTAGCTGGGGGGAGGGATTCAACAGAAGCTTCTGGCACGCTGACTTTTGAGCTAAGACCAGAATGACAAGATACTAGTGTCTGCTCACCTTTGGTTTGGTGGCTCCCTCTGTATTCTTACTTTCAAATCTCTCACAACTTCTATAAAAACCCTCCTGCCAGGAGCACCCCTGTAGAAAGGCTCCCGCTCCTCCTGCACTATCTAGCCCTGTTCTGGGTCCAGTTCTTTCCTTCCAGACTTCATCCTGGGAGTGCCCAATTCTGCCTAGCCCTAGGTACCCCTTCCACACCACCAGTGGGATGCTCACCCACCTTGTTCTGTCTCAGCTTCTGGAGGAGCTGGACCCTGTTGTTGCTCTGTGACAGGAAGTACAGGATGGGATTGAGGCAGCTGCTCATGCTGACCAGGGGTCTACAGATCTTGTAGGCCATGCTGGCTGCTGACAAGAGTTGGCAGTCCTGTGAGTTCCAGAAGCGGATGACCAGGTAGAAGGATCGGGCAATGTGGAAGGGCACAAAACAGAGGGTGAAGAGGCTACACACCAGCAGGATGGTCCGAACGGACTTGGCACGGGCTGTGTGACCTGTCTTTGAGAGCGCCTCTACTGGATATGCCAGGCTCCTGACCATCAGAGCATAGCACACCAGAATGATCAAGGAGGGAAAGACAAAACCAGACACCATCAGAACCATACTGTAGGCAAAGAAATAACCAAAATTCTCCGGGCTGGCTGTGTCATAGCAGATCACCTGGCCATTTACATAGCCTGTGTGGGAGAAGACTAGTGTGGGCAGCAGCTGGAGGACTACCAGGGTCCAGGTGGCAGCAGCTGCTTGCCAGGTGTGCCGGTGAGTCCGGTAGGACAGTGAGCTCAGGGGGCGGCACACACCTAGAAAGCGGTGCACAGAGATGCAGGTCAGAAGCAGGGTGCTGCTGTAGAGGTTGGTATAGAATAGGAAACGCACCAGCCTGCATAGCATCTCCCCAAAGACCCAGGTGTCACCCACCGAATAGGTGATGACAAGGAAAGGTAGGCTCATCACATAAAGCAGGTCAGCCACCATCAGGTTCATCAGATAGATGGTGGCACAGCTCCAGGGCTTGGTTTGGCAGAAGGAGAGCCATAAGACAGCCCCGTTGAGGACCAGGCCTAGGATGAAGATGATGCTATAGGTTATGGACAGGTAGACTTGCTTGTACCTCTCTGAGAAGTGGCAGGCACCTTGCTCCTTTGAGGCATTCAGGTCTAGCTTCTCCATCTCCAGGAAGGCTCCCTCTAAGATGGCCTCTACTTCTGCTTCTCCTAAGAGAAACAATTTGGACAGTTCAGCATCAGGATCTCAGCTAGGTGCTAGCCTCCTCCACTGACCTGGCATTCAGATTTGCTCCCAATCTCAGAGTCCTTACGTGAGCACAAGCAGCTCCAGGAGGAAGAAGGTTTAAACCTGATCTCAAACTGAGCTCCACATGTCTGGGGTCAGGGGTCTTACCTTGCCTTGTTTGTGTAGCACGGCAGCTGGAAGACAGCACTGTCGTTTAAATGGGGCCTAGAGAAATGCCAATTGCATGCCCCTCCCTCTTGTAGAACCCTTTGCATAGACTCAGGAACTGTCTTAGGGGAGACACTCCATTTGGGTGGATGACATGCCCAGGGGTGATCTGATACTGCCCACAATCTGATGCTAGCCACAGATACCATGGTGGAGCAGAGAGTGACCTGTGGTGTTTTAAGAGGATTAGGGAAAACACGGATTTTGCCTATAGGCTCCATGGGAGGATTTTGATTTGTTTCTCTTTCAGGATTTATTAACTGCCTCTTTGAATACTGAGGAAAATTTGCTTATTAGCTATCTCAACCTCCTGAACATTTAAGAAAACAATTTTGAACTATGAAGCCAGGTGCAGTTTCTTCCTTATTTCTTGCTATCTCTATCCTGGCTGACAAAACTGGTCCAAATGTTGAAACCCAGTAACCCGGTAGCAACAGAGTCTGTGTGTGTGTGTGTGTGTGTGTGTGTGAGTGTGTGTGTGTGTGTGTGTGTGATGTCCCTATGTGTCCTGTTCTCTCTCTTTCTCTCTCTCTCTCTCTCTCTCTCTCTCTCTCTCTCTCTCTCTCTCTCTCACACACACACACACACACACACACACACACACACAATGAAGAGGACAAAGCCTTTGCTCTCCAGTATCTCACACTTTAGTGGGAGAAATTAGAAATAGATACAGCTAATTGTAAGATCTGAGAAATAGTCACAAAATCTGTGGGAAAGTAGCAGGATACAGCCTCTGAGGGTACTGAGTGAGGCTTCTTAAACAAGGCAGCATTTGAGCTTTCAGGAGCAGAAGAAACAAGAGCCTGCTTGACAGAAAGTGAGCAGCATGTGGGCAGGCTGGGGACAGGATGGGTGCAGGGTGAGGACTGTGTGAAGAGATGGCAAGCCCTTGGGTACCATGTGGGCGCAGATGTCAGATTCTGAACTGGGGACCATGCTTCTGTGTGAAGGGAGATTCCTAAGCAGGGTAGTGATGGAATAAGACTGGTGGTGGTTCATCTTGGGTGTGCACTTGACGGGGTTAAAGAATACCCTGAGAACTGATGGAACACTGTTTTAGATTTGTCTGTGAGAGTGCGTCCTGAACAGACTTTGACTCAGTGGACTAACGAAGATGCTCTGACACAGGATGGCACCATCCAATTGGTTGAGGACACAGACAGAACAAAAAGGTAGAAGAAAGGGAAATCCATTTGCTTTAAAGAGCTGGCAGTCCTATCTTCTGTCCCTGGGCATTAGAGCTCTAGGCTTTCTGGCCTCCAGACTCTAGGGCTTTTTTCAAGGACCCCAAGTTCTCAGATTTTGTACTCAAACTGAGCCCTGGTACCAATCCCCAGCTTCCCAACATCACACTGTCAGCTATTTCAGATAGTATGAGTCAGCTCATGTAATAATTCCCAGCTGATCTCTCCATTCTATCGGCCTTGACCATCTGGAAACCACTTATAGCAGATGTATTTGAAGCAGATATTGATAATGTCATAGACTTAAACCTGGAGCAGGAAGGAACAGTCTGGCCAAAAGGGCTGTTATAGAGTGCAGAGTCATCTCTTCCCCAGGGAAGGCCAACCAGGGTGGACACAGAGAAAGGAGCTGACAGGAGATACACTACAGAGGCAGGAGTGCCAGGCCTTGGACATGAGGCACAAACCTGAGGAGGAGTTGAGGCTTTCAATTTCTTGAGTGTTGGGGACTGGCATGGTGAGACCCAAACCTTGGAGGCACAGTGGAAATTAGCTCCTGAGGTTGTGGGAGATGGAGGTTGTCTGTGCCTCAAGATGCCAACAGTTCCTCACTTCTCTGACTGACTTTAAAATCTACTGGACAACAAGAAGAAAGCTTTTTGGTTGGGAGAGGGAAATAAATGTAATTTTTATTCATTTCACTCCCTGTAATCATTCATGCTGGGGTACTGACAAATGCTTAGTTATTTTTAGCAAAGCTTTCTTCCCAGCTCAGTGTGGGCTCTCAACAGGAAGCTGAGACTTGTTTCTGGCTTCCAGAGGGCTAGGTCTTTCACACATGTGACTAACCTTGGTACTCAAGCATTACCTCTGTCTTACTGATGAAAGTCAGAGAACACTTTAGGGTACCTTGTGTGCCTCAGTCTTCTGGTTGGGTCACTGACTTTGGTCCCACACAAGATCTCTTAGGTTCTGTTTATAGTACTCAGAAGGCTGAGGGAGGAGGACTGTGAGTTTGGGGCTAGCATGGGCTACATACAGAACAAGTATCAGGCCATTCTAAATTACATGGCAAGATTCTGCTGATGATGGTGATGATAAAAACACCTTTTATGTAAAGATACAGCTTTAAATATGAGAATTGATTTTAGAGCTTAGTACTTTACCTGTGTCTGGAAATTATGTTTTTGAGCTGATAGGGATTGAACTCAGGACTCATGCCTGGTAAACACCACTGAGCTACATCTAGTCACTGGTGATGGCTCTTTAACAAATGAAGCCATTTAATGGAGGCTCATAAATATTCCCAAACAGTAAATTCTGATTTTTACCCAGTTTTGTGTTCCAAAAATCATTGGCAAATACTTATCTGTTTGCATATCAATGTATGTACTTACCTGTCAACATACTTACAGATGTATATATTGTATACATCAATTTAATATTTATTTACAAAAATAATCACTCACTTAACATAATCATTTGTTTTTATGGTTTATGTTAAATGGGGGTATAGGTACAGTTAATTCTATGGTAGATTAGTGTAGAAAATGTTTTACTTGAAATAATTTTGTTTCAAATTCACTAGATAATTTGTTGCTATTTGACAACTAACCACTGGATGGCAATAAAGACCACAGACAGTTTTCAACCTTCCCTCCTCACCCTCATGCAAAGGAAAAACCTGAACTGGGCTTGGGCTTCTGTCCATAGCATGGCAGCTGTAGAGAAGACACAGTTCATTGAGGACCTCTCCCTCCAGTGCTCCGACAAATCAACCCTTCACTTAACACTGCATGCACAGTTACTATGCTGGTTTCACATAAAGAAATGGAGCTACAGTCTGTTGAGAGCAGCCCTTTACTACGCTCTGGGAAGTAAGCATAGACAGCACTATTCCCTTCATTGTGTGGCCAATAGTCTAAGGCTCAAAGAGGCTCAGTGGGGTTGTGTCTTTTTGGGACAACTGATTCAAGGTGAGCTTCAACTGAAAGACCCCTAGAGTGGGGAGACTCTCACTCAAGTCTCGGGATAAGCCCCAATAATTCAAGAGAGACAGTTCTTGCTGCAAGCACATGAGGTTTATTTGGGGAACCAGTGTACTGGGGCCGAGCTCATGACCCTCGCAGGGGCAGAGGAGTGTGACCCCTAGTAGCTACAGTTGGGGGTTTTTTAAAGGAAAAAAATTAATCAGGGAGTTAGGCACACATCATAAACATAACAGATAAGGAAGTTAAATGATAGCTTATGTCTTAATAGGAAGGTTATCACAAGCAAGCATTCTTTGAACATTGCACAGTTAAGTATTGAGCAGGAATGTGGTGAGCTAGTTCCTGGATAAGGGAGGGTTATCTTTTAGGTTTATCTTGAGGTCTCCGGTTTCTCAGGAGAAGGCAGAAGGACAAGTTACTCTGTGATGGGCTAGTTGCTAGGGGGTCTAAAAATGTTGAGTTGGGATCTCTCATCCCCCACTTCTTTTACTAAGCAGTTCTAATCATAGAACTGCAGAACTAAATTTCTGACTCTATATAGTATGCATTGCCCTGTTCTAATCTCTGATACTGTTGGCATAGCATAAGAATCTGTACAGCACTAACTCTTTGTCTAATAAAAGCAATTAATCTATTAATTATGCAAGGTCCTATAGTCAGCAGAAGAAGCAAGATCAGTAAGGGACGCATCAGGGCAGAAAGCAAAGTCATCATCCATGGCGATCTGCTGAACCAGCCCTTGTACAAGTTTTGTGTGGCCTCCCGGTCTCGTTTGTGTTTTTCTAATCTTTCTCTGAGCTTGCTCATGAAATCTCTGATAGCTCCAGAGTGATCGATATAAAAACAACATTCTTCTTTAAGGGCAGCACATATTCCCCCTTCCTTAAGGAACAGCAGGTCTAAGCCTCTTCTATTCTGTAGAACTACCTCAGACAGGGAGATGAGAGATTCTTCTAACTTAGTGACAGAGCTTTAACGCTTTGATATCCTGTGTCATAGCAGCCTGCAGAGTATTCAGGCCATGTTGGAGGTCTTGGGGTTCCTTAACAAGTGCTGTAGTCCCGGTACCAATTCCTGCTGCTATGCTCAAACCTATGCTAAGGTGAGGGATACTGGTTCCCTCTTGTCCCTTCTTTGGTTATAATCATAAGCATCTATGACTGTCTCCTCTGGGTGGTAGTAGACACTAGGAACCAGCTGAACCATAACACAAAAGTCTCTTGACTGGTTAAACACAACAGTAGAGACACAGGGGGTAAGCCCAATACTACACGCCCACCAACTATTGTTACTTGGTAACAGATAAGGGTTGGTCTCTGTTACCATAACGGCTGGGCTGTTGCAGAGGTGCTGATGGGAGCGAGGTACTGTCCCTAGGCATAATCCTGAGCCTGAGACTTCAGTAAGGGTGAGCTTACTTCAGGAGCCCCAGGAACATTGATTTGGATCTGTCACAGAGGTGACGGTACCAGAGATGGCAGGTACCTCGTAATAAGGAGGACAAGCAGCAAGATAAAGCCAGCAAGATGAGGTAGCATCAGGATTGGTGGTATTTAAAGCTAGAAAAGCCCCTTGAATCAAGTTAAAGTCTATCACCAGTGGTAGGGGGCAGAGTGAAGGTTTCTGCCATGGAAATTATCGTCCCATAGGGTTGGGGCTCAGAAATGGGGGAATCAGGACTTATGGGGGGAGGAGGTGGTGGTAACACCCATTGGGGAGGTCCTTGCTCTGGGAGTACCTTATCAGGCCCTATGGGAACCGCTGGAGGGCTCTCAATCTTGAACCTAATCTGGAACGAAAACCCGCTATCCCATCCTGACATATAGAACTTCAGACCCCAGGTTCGTCCCTTGGGCCAGGCAGTAAACTGCTTCCCTGGATTTGTGAAGGTGATATAGAGAGAGTCTAGGCCCTTATTTTTTCTAGCAACAGTAATCAAGTCCCATAGGGATGTGGGATGCCAATGGGCATCTCCGGTAGTTTCACATCCCCATTGTTTGAAATAGAAATGTCCCAGTCCTCCACATCTGTGTGTCTCCGACCTAGATCTGCCGTCTCTAGGGCAAACATAAAAGGAGGTCTGCTGCAGTCTTCTCTGCATAGATCTATCTTTACATCCCGGGGAATCAGCAAGGTGCTGGCCCTGTGAAACTGTTCCTTGATGAAGGGACTGTTTTTGTAAATGCACCCCTTCTAAGGGTATTTCTTCATGAGTCAACCCATGAATGTCCCATAAGTCTACCCTGCCATCAGGGCACAGATTTCAGGAAACAAAGAGGGCCACCAAGTACCAGGTGGACCAGACTACATCCCCAGTTTGTGATCGTACCTGCCAGGTTAACGCTTGAGGAACATAGGGATTTGTGTTCTGTGGTGAGCAGGGGACATAAACGCAGCTTAAGAGGATCACCAGTCTTTTCCAGGTTCCAGCAGTCATCTTGGGTTGCAGGAGGGGCCGCTTTGATGTGGGATGTATGGATTCTAGCTGGGATGCCATCAACCTTGATGGTGGTGGGGCTTGCCAGGTAGGGTCCCTTGTCAGGTAGGGTCCCTCCCATCTGGGTTCGAGGTTACCAGATCGATGACGCCGGACCAGGACGGAGTCTCCCACTTGGAACTTATGTGGTACAGCTGTGGTTCCCGGTTTGTATGCTCCTTTTAGCTGTTCCCAGGCATCCTTTCTGACCTGTTCAAGAGCCTTTAAATGAGCTAACAGGAGGTGGGAGAAAGAGGCATCACAATCAAGCACCTCTCCTGCTTCTGGCAAGCGGGAGGGTCCCCCATGGAGGAGCTCGAATGGTGTGATCTTAAATTTCCCTGGGGTGTCCCATACTCAGAACAAGGCGAAGGGCAGGAGGGTTATCCAGTCCTTTCCACTGGTCTCTAAGGTTAATTTAGTCGAGGTCTCTTTTAATGTTCTGTTTATTCTTTCTGCCTGTCCTGAGCTCTGGGGTCTATAAGCACAATGTAATTTCCAATTAATCCCCAGTTGGGTGGCCAGTCCCTGATTTACCTGGGCAATGAAGGCAGGGCCATTGTCTGATCCAATTACCTTAGGGATGCCGAATCATGGGAAAATCTCCTCCAGTGTCTTCTTTGCTACTACATTGGCTGTTTCCCTCTTTGTAGGGAAAGCCTTTACCCATCCTGAGATGGTATCTATGAAAACTAATAAATATTTGTTACCATATTTTGCTGGTTTAACTTCTGTGAAATCGACCTCCCAGTATGCTCCTGGCCTGTCTCCCCGGAGGCATTTGCCAGGGGCACTTAGGTGATGTCCAGCATTGGTTAAGGCACAGGCCTTGAAATTCTGAACTACTTTTTGAGCAATGTCCGAGAGGCCCATGGCGTGATAATCAGAGTGACATATGATGTCCTTTAGCTTCTTTGTCCCTAGATGAGTTAGTTGATGTAAACTGGTGACATAATGTCATCCCTCCTCTTGGGGTAGTATGGATTTGCCTTCTTCTGTCTCAGCTACTCCATAGGGGGAGTAGCCATGCACAATTTTTAGTTTCTCCATCTGCTTATGATCTTCAGGGGTATACCTGAAGCTAGTTTCTCTAATGTCATAATAGTCTTTAGGTTCCTTAGTTTTTTTGTTCAGCTGCGAGGATCATAGCTTCTTGAGCTGTCTGCTTGGCAGCCGTGTCAGCCATTTGATTTCCCTTACCTATGACATCTTGGCCCTTCTGGTGGCCAGGACAATGTATAATGGCCAGTTTCTTTGGCAAGTGTATGGCCTCTAACAGGTTCAAGATTTCTTCTTTATTTTTCATGTCCTTTCCTGCCGATGTGAGTAACGCCCTTTGTTTATAAATTGCCCCATGTATGTGAGTGATGGTGAAAGCATACCTGCTGTCTGTGTAAATGTTGATAGCCTTTCCTTCTGTCAGCCACAAGGCTTGTGTGAGTGTGATCAGCTCAGCTTTTTGGGCCTACGTTCCCTTGGGGAAGCTGCTGACCCAGATGGTCCACTTCTCGTCTACTACTGCCGCCCCAGCTCTCTGCTTACCTTCAACCACGAAGCTGCTACGTCCATGTACCAATTAGGGCACCTTGGCCATGGCTGATCAGTGAGGTCTTTCCTGGTTCCGGTTTCTTCTGCCAGGATGTCCATATATTGGTGTACCGGTAATGAGTAGTCTGTCTCTGGCAGCAAGGAGGCGGGGTTTAGGATAGCCAGGGGTGCAAACAGCACTCTCTCAGTTAACAAGAGGCTCTGATAGTGAGCCATGCGGGTGTTGGTCATCCAGCCGTCAGGCTGTTGTCTGATGATGCTTTCCAGGGCGTGTGGGGCTACCACTACAGTCTGTTGACATAAAGTTAGTTTGTCGGCATCTTTGATAAGCAGTGCCACTGCAGCGATAGCTTTTAGGCAAGATGGCCATCCACTGGCTACAGGATCTAATTTCTTTGACAGGTAGGCCACAGGTCATTTCCGTGGTACCAAGGCCTGAGTTAGGACCCCTGGTGCTATTCCTGCCCTTTCATCTACATAGAGAGTGAATGGCTTTGTCAGGTCTGGCAGGGCTAGGGCTGATGCACTGAGTAAAGCCCTCTTGTTCTCTTCAAAGGCTTTCTGATGGTCGAGGGTCCATGAGAAAGTCCAAGTCTCCTTAGTGAGGGGATAGAGTGGGGCTGCCAGGGTGGCAAAATCTGAAATCCAGAGTCAATAAAACCCTGCAGTACCTAGAAATTTTCTCACTTGCTTTGGGGTTGCAGGAGTAGGGATTTGTGTCACAGTCTTTTTCCTAGCTTCAGTCAGCCATTGCTTCCCCTCCTTAAGAGTGTAACCCAAGTAGGTTACTTCTATCTGACAAATCGGGGCTTTCTTTACTGAAGCCCTGTACCCCAACTCACCCAGCTCAGTCAGTAATCTCTCAGTCCCCAGTCTGCGCTCTTGCTCAGTGACAGCAGCTAGGAACAAATCATCAACATATTGAAGTAGGGTAACATGAGGATTTTCTGACTTGAATGGAGCCAAATCTCAATGGAGGGCTTCATTGAAGAGAGTGGGGGAGTTTTTGAATACCTGAGGCAGACGTGTCAGAGTCAGCTGTCCAGCCTGTCCCCGACCTGGGTCTCTCCATTCAAAAGCAAAGATTGCCTGGCTTGTAGGATGTAGTCTCAGGCAAAAGAACGCATCCTTCAAGTCCAGAACCGTGTACCATCGTCTGTCAGGAGTGAGAGAACTGAGCATGTTGTAAGGGTTAGGGACGGTAGGATGGATATCTTGTACCCTTTTGTTAACTTCTCTTAGACTGTACTGTACTGGCCGGTAATCACTGGTGCCTGGCTTTCTAACTGGCAGCAACAGAGTGTTCCAGGAAGACTGGCAAGGAACCAGAACACCTAGCTGCAGGAGTCTTTGGATGTGCGGTCTGATGCCCTCTAGGGCTTCCTTGCTCATAGGGTATTGTCGTACCCCAATGGGGGTTGCATCAGTCTTTAGGCTTACAATGATGGAGGGCACCAGTTTGGCCTCTCCCATGCCCCCATCTCTGCCCATGCTCTGGGGAACCTCTCTAGCCATGCTCCCCCCAGTGTCTTGTCTGGTGGGGCCGGGGGCTCATGTAATCTATAGTCTTCCTCCAGTTTTAAGGCCAAGATCATAAAAGTGGGAGTCTACCAATTGACTACGGTTCCTTCCAAGGAAAAGCTTATTTGGGCTTTTAGCTTAGACAGTAAATCTCTCCCCAATAGTGGCGTGGGGCACTCAGGGATGATGAGAAAGGAGTGAGTTACTTGACCTTTTCCCAGATCAACCTTCTTGTTGGTGGTCCAAGAATATATATGGTTTCTGCCCAGTGGCTTCAATTACTATAGTTTTTTTATCTTTTAATTTTCCTAATGGTTTCTCTAAAACTAAAAATTCTGCTCCAGTGTCAACAAGGAAGTCCATAGGGGTCCCCTCCACATTTAGGGTTACTCTAGGCTCAGGGAGGGGGCCCAAGCCCCATCTCCCCTAATCATCTTCCTCTAAGGTAAGGACCTTGGGTGTCTTGTGTTTCTTCTTGGGGCAGTCCCTTGCCCAATTACCCTTTTCCTTACAATAAGCACATTGATCCTTATCTAAAGGCTGCTGAGGGGGTCCATCAGGGTTCGGAGGTCTCCTTTGCCCTTCATTGCCCAGGTACCCTATCTGCCTAGTTCCTTCTTCCTTCCCATGAGCTTCCCTGTTGCCTACTACTGCAGCCAAAATCCTAGTTAAGTTTCTTTCTTGCTTTCTATCTTGTCTATCCTGTCTCTCCTCAGCTTCCTTCTTTTCTCTTTCTGTTATTTCTTCCTCAGTCTCTCTCTTATGGTACACTTTCTCTGCTTCCTTAACTAGGTCTTGCAAAGATAATGTTTGCAGACCTTTTAGGCACTGTAACCTTCTAATATCAGAGGCAGACTGTCCAATAAAAGCCATAACCACTGCTGCTTGCTGACTCTCAGAAGTAGGATCAAAGGGAGTAAAATGCCTGTAAGCCTCTAAGAGACATTCTAAAAACACAGATGGGGGTTCCTTCTCCCCTTGTAGAACTTCCCTTACCTTGGCCAAATTAGTGGGATGCCTGCCGGCTCCCTTGAGACCTGTCACCAGAGCCCAGCGATAGACCATCAGCTGCTCCCTACCTTCAGCTCTGTTGTAGTCCCAATTAGGACGATTTAAGGGAAAGCCTGCATCTATTTCATTCTGAAGTTGAGTTGGTTGACCATTGATTCCAGGCACATTCTTCTGCGCCTCCAAAAGTATTCTCTCTCTTTCCTCGGTGATGAAAAGAACGTTCCAAATCTGTTGACAATCATCCCAAGTAGGTTGGTGAGAGAACATGAGAGACTCCATCAGACCTGTAAGGCTTGAGGGATTTTCTGAAAAAGGGGCATGGTTAGATTTCCAATTGTAGAGGTCGGCTGAAGAGAAGGGCCAATACTAGAGTAATTGCAGCTGGTTAGGGTTCACTGGTGGGGGAGTCGTATGCACACAGAGGCAATGCTCTAGTAGAATCTGGACCCTCAGGACCCTGGGCGCATCTGCTCCTAGTCCCGGCGGCCGGCCCCTCTGCTGGTCCTCCAATGACACCCTGTTGAGGATTCTGAGGGGGTATCGGGAGGGGATAAGGGGGTGGGATACTAGGCCATTCTAGAGGCTCCTCAATTTTGGGATATATCTTAGGAGGAGCCAAGGATTGAGTCTTATTTGGCAGTTTAGACTCTGCCATTTCTGATTTCGTTTTTTTTTTCTCTGTGCTGCAAAGTGCCAGGACTCGGAAGCCTGGCTTACTTTTCTGGGTCCAAGGTTTTAACCAGGATGGAGCATCTTGTGCCAGATCTTCCCAGACACAAATATAACGTCCTTGGACAGGGTAATGCCCTGGACTCTTCTGAAAAAACATATTCTTTTTTTTTCTGATCTTTTGTTTTATTTTTATTTTTTTTGATTCTGCTGATTCCTCTTTCCTTTTTTTTTTCTCCAGATTTATTTTGGTAAAAAAAGAATCAGATATAACCTTTCAAAAATTACATTAATGTTTAACATGCATTCAAATAACTTTCTTTTTTTTCCAGT